AAACAGCTGGCTATCGGGGGCTTTAAGAGGATTTTTTGGGGTGGAAGATGCTGGGGGTGGGACTGATATGAGCTGACTGCAAAGTTTGGCCCACAAACCTAATCTTTAGAAAGCACTTAAAGAAAGTTTGAGTGATTTCAGGCCAGCGCTTGGTTTCTGAGGCCTTCGCCTCTTTTCTCTGCAATTCGGTCCAGTTGTGCTGGCGGTTCTCTAGCGTACTCATTATAATGCAATCAAACTGACCTCAGCTCTCGGATGCATTAGAATGAGGTCGATCATTTAATGTTTGAACACACACAGCTGCTTAGTTAGTACAGAAGCTACATATCATTAGCCCAACGGAAATATTAAATCAGATGAACAGCAATAATATACAGTTGGCATAATGTTGATTACCACAGACATTAATTTCAACTTGCCTCAGCGTACAGAACTGCAAATAAGCATTAAATATTTTAAGTATCACAAAAGTATAACCACAGTACTTCACATAGAATCTCTTACTAATCTTGTCTGAAATGATATCTAAACTTCAAACTCATTTCACAAGCTAAAAAAGTAAATCAGCATTATTTTATACAGTGATCATATTACTCTTACTGTTTCTTCAATATCACTGTAAACAAAAAATGATATGATCAAGAAATCATCATAATGTTTTTTTCATTATCTTCATTTTTTAATTCAAAGTCAAGTCAAATTTTAAGTCAGTTTAATATAATTTAATTTGAAATTATTTGTATAGCCAATTTGATTATACGTAAAAATTGAAGGCAGAAACTGAACTTTTTTAAGCTGAAGTAGGTGATTTTTTTTAGTGTGTGCAAATTTTTAGTATGCATAAATTGCAAAAATGAATAAGCACATTGCACTTAATACTCTATTTCACAAAGCACTTGGCTGACCTTTCATTTTTAACCTTTTCATTTGACCATATATCAGTGATTTTTACAAAACAATTAAGCCCCAGAATGTTAAAATAGGCGACTGTACTTCTTCAACTATTATCATGAATACAGGCGTGCCACAGGGGTGTGTGCTAAGCCCAGTCTTATTTACCCTCTTCACTCATGATTGCACTTCAATTTATCCTTCTAATGCCATAGTAAAGTTCACTGATGCCACCATTGTGGGCCTTATCTCAGAAAATAAAGAAACAGCCTACAGGGAGGAGGTGCAACATATTGTCCAGTGGTGTGTGAGGACCATAATTTGGTACTGAACACAAACAAAAACAAAAGAGATTATTGTAGACTTCAGGAGGTCTAAGAAGACTACCCACTTTCCTCTGCACATAATTGAGAGGAAGTGGAGAGGGTAAATGACATCAAGTTCCTGGGAGTCTACATAACGAAAGATCTCACTTGGTCCATTAACACCTCACATCTGGCAAAGAAAGCACAACAAAGAGTTTTTCCTTCGAAAAAATGAAGCAGGCTAGGCTGTCCACACAGCTCCTAGTGAAAATGTTATCATTGTATTATAGAGAGTGTACTAGTCTATGGGATTACAGTGTGGTACGCAAGTTGCACTGGGGAAAATCGCAGAGAACTGTCGTGTGGTTAAAACTGCACAGCGGATAATAGGCACTGAGCTCCCGAGCCTGGATACTGTTTATTCCAGTCGATTACGCCCGAAGGCCAGTAGTATCATTATGGATCACACTCATCCAGGACAAGTAAGTTACAGAACAGTTTTTTTGCAAAAGCTGTATCTGTCCTAACACCTCCTATTACTACTTTTACTTTTCCATAATAATTATGGACAATTTTAATAGTTATTAAAGATGGGAAAGGACATGTAATATATGCATTTTAATATTTTTATAATGTTATTCTAATGTGCAATATGTTACTCAAGGTGTATGTTTCAATTATGTGTTTAATGTTTACTGTTATGAGAGTCGCCACTCTAAATTTCGTTGTACTCAGACAATGATAAATAGTCTAAGTCTAAAAATGAACAATTTTACATCATAACTAGATGCCAATTACATGCAATATGATGAGGTTAAGTAATTTTGCATACTAATGTTTGAAAAATTAATTACTGAATGTTTACAAAAAAAAACTACTTAGTACAGTGTATAGGCTAGGCTGTCCACACAGCTCCTAGTGAAAATGTTATCATTGTATTATAGAGAGTGTACTAGTCTATGGGATTACAGTGTGGTACGCAAGTTGCACTGGGGAAAATCGCAGAGAACTGTCGTGTGGTTAAAACTGCACAGCGGATAATAGGCACTGAGCTCCCGAGCCTGGATACTGTTTATTCCAGTCGATTACGCCCAAAGGCCAGCAGTATCATTATGGATCACACTCATCCAGGACAAATAAGTTACAGAACATTTTTTTTGCAAAAGCTGTATCTGTCCTAACACCTCCTATTACTACTTGTACTTTTCCATAATAATTATGGACAATTTTAATAGTTATTAAAGATGGGAAAGGACATGTAATATATGCATTTTAATATTTTTATAATGTTATTCTAATGTGCAATATGTTACTCAAGGTGTATGTTTCAATTATGTGTTTAATGTTTACTGTTATGAGAGTCGCCACTCTAAATTTCGTTGTACTCAGACAATGATAAATAGTCTAAGTCTAAAAATGAACAATTTTACATCATAACTAGATGCCAATTACATGCAATATGATGAGGTTAAGTAATTTTGCATACTAATGTTTGAAAAACTAATTATTGAATATGTTTACAAAAAAAAACTACTTCGTACAGTGTATACCTCATAACAGTAGTTAATAATAAACTAGTATTCTATTCTGACAACGCCAATTTCTGCAAACATCTTCTGCAAGAGTTACACCAAAATATGATTTAGATAATTCATTTAAATAATTGTATTTTTTAATAATAATAGATTTTTTTTTTTAATAATTTGTATTTTTACTGTAATAATTGACAGCATGCCACAAATGCATATAAATGGCAACTAACCACGAGAAACTGAAAAATGACTTAACGTTTCTTCAGAGCAGCTGTGTATCACCGAATCACTTGTGTCTCTGGTCAATAATTGACAGCATGCCACAAATGCATATAAATGGCAACCACGAGAAACTGAAAAATTACTGAATGTTTCTTCAGAGCAGCTGTGTATCACCGAATCACTTGTGTCTCTGGTCAGCATCACATCACACCATTAGCTTCTTCATTTCCAGCCCTGCTCTGGCTGCTCTTATCATCCGCACTTATCGCTCCATTGGCTGCTCTACAGCTGTGAAAGCCTAACATTTTCCCAGATGAGCTCTTTTTTATATAGATTCCAGTCCTCCTTACAAGGTTCCTCTTCTTATACCTGCAGAAAAACCAGAGAAGAGTGGATAGAGGGTTATTTGGTGCCTTAGTGCTCTGACACGAGACTGAAAACAATACTTTCAGTTATTTTATTCTTGAACACAATCTGCTGGGAGTTCTTGCACCAAGGTCAAGATGGATCAAGATTCTTCCATTAAAGTCTCAGATGGTATGCTGGCAGACCACATACTGTCTGTCTGATGCATACTGTAGACAAAAACTGAAACGGTTTTCTAAAATCTCTCAGCTCCAATCCGATTGGCTGGTTTTATGCAATTTTACAGGATTTTATTGAACTGTTGGGAAACAAAATTACGTTTACAAGGTACCAGGCTGCTACTTGGAATACATCTGAGTCACTGTTGATTATCATAGAAAATAGCTCTTGTCTCTGCATTGGTAAAAACAAAATAATTACAGTACTTTCAATGGTTGTCTATGGGGTACTGAACCAGAATAAACATGAAAATGGCAGCAAGATATAAACATTATAAAGGTTAACATGAGACTAGTGTAATAAAATGGCTTACTAACCTTAGTGGCAGGTGAAACGACAAGCTTATAACAATGCAAAAACATCATATAAACAAAATATCAATGATATAACTTATTTGGGGTCACTAAGTTTAGGGTCATTTTTTTTGTAAAGAAATTAATATATATATATATATATATATGTGTGTGTGTGTGTGTGGCTCTGACACGAGACTGAAAACAATACTTTCAGTTATTTTATTCTTGAACACAATCTGCTGGGAGTTCTTGCACCAAGGTCAAGATGGATCAAGATTCTTCCATTAAAGTCTCAGATGGTATGCTGGCAGACCACATACTGTCTGTCTGATGCATACTGTAGACAAAAACTGAAACGGTTTTCTAAAATCTCTCAGCTCCAATCCGATTGGCTGGTTTTATGCAATTTTACAGGATTTTATTGAACTGTTGGGAAACAAAATTACGTTTACAAGGTACCAGGCTGCTACTTGGAATACATCTGAGTCACTGTTGATTATCATAGAAAATAGCTCTCGTCTCTGCATTGGTAAAAACAAAATAATTACAGTACTTTCAATGGTTGTCTATGGGGTACTGAACCAGAATAAACATGAAAATGGCAGCAAGATATAAACATTATAAAGGTTAACATGAGACTAGTGTAATAAAATGGCTTACTAACCTTGTCTGTGCAAACATTGTATCCACATTTTCAACTCAGGTTCATGGAAAGCTGATAAACCCTGTAACTTTCACACGATACACAAATAAACCAGAAAGACACACAAGCTAACCAGGAATTAAGTCTGCAAGTCATAACGATTTACGTGAAATAGAAATGTTGATTCAAACAACTTTACAGCTCAAACAGCACATATTTTTGCATTAATACAAGCAATTTATCTAAACTACAAGCTACTGTGTGGATTTGCGTTTTGTTTTCAGAGTTATGGCTTTGAAATAATCAGTGCTTATTAATTTTGGAAGGACAGAGATTGTGATCTCTGTCCCTTTTCCAATATTTTTTATTTGAATGAACTAGTCATTTTACTGAATATTGGCCTATTGTTAACCAAAACTGTGGGGGATTCTAGGCCAGAATGAGCTGTTAAATGGACCAGACTTTATGGCGATAGAAGTCTGGTTCTGCGAGACTGCCTCGACTCATTCTCTCAGACTTTATCATGTTTTGAGTGCTGAAAGAAACAGGTTGCTTATTAGACAGGCATCATCAGTGCAGGACACTGCAAAGCAGCATCTGATAGCGGCTATCTCTCTCTATCTCCCCCTGTAATGGGAGAAACAGCAGTCTGAGACTAATGATGTGAAAACCCTCTCTTTAATGAAGTAATGCTCTGCGCTGCCATTACCATGACAGAGAACAGCCCAGCTTGGACAAAAGAACCCGACAAATGATGAAAAATTCAATTCAAAAGTTTAAAATCGTGGGAAAATGCAAAAACAAAGAAAGATACAGATTTGTTTGAAATTTATTTGTATAAAAATGTACTATTACAGTCGCACAGCAATGCAAGAGACATTAGAGAGAGTTCATTATATCTCTTGCACTGACTGTCATCCAAAATGAGTTTCTGTGATGTGAATAATTTAAGGCTGAGAACATCTCCTTCCTTTCAGGCACTTAGCAGTTTCCTGTCAGAGGTTTCACAGGGTCATCACTGTTAAAACACATCATTAGCAGAAGAGTCTGTATCTCCTTCAACAGAGCTGAGGCTGACAGACTCTTGATCTTGTTTGACAGAAAGCAGCCTCACTGACATCACTCTGACATCACTTCCTCCTTCTGTGTGCAGAAAAATGTCTTCACCTGTGGGGAAACAGATGAGTCAACATTTGAAGGGGGCAGCAGGCAGAGGCTGGGTGGGCATTTAAACAAACACTCATCGGTCATTTCCTCTGTGTTTGGGGGGCAGCAGGCAGAGGCTGGGTGGGCATTTACCCAGATCAATGGGGCGTGTAGGAGAGGAAGTGTGAGTGAACAAAGACCCTCGCGGGACCGCCGGGCACACACTGATGGAGATCAGTAGGGAGCTGCGATTCAGACTCACACACACACATACAACAGAGTAAGATGCTCTTTCCTGTGTGTTTTCTCAAGCTGTTCGAGAATTGTCACTGGTGAGGAAAACCTACCTCAGCAATATGGCATAAGAGGATATGTTCTACACAAGACAAGAGGCTGAAAAAAAGATTTTAAAATATAATATATAGATATATATATTACTAACACATTTTTATGACACACAAACACACATCCTACATACAAACATACACAAAATAGATATAATTTTAATGTGGTTCATCATATATTAATCTTTTTGTTGTTACGACCGGATTTCTGGAAGGCTGTTTTTATAGCTTAGTATCTATAAATATTGTGGAGGGAGCATGTTGAAGTACATCTATATAGTAAATCAAACTCTTTTTAAAAAAAAAAAAACAAAAAAAAAAAAAAAAGGAATGTAATTTTTTGTGGTTCATCATATATTAATCTTTTTGTTGTTACGACCGGATTTCTGGAAGGCTGTTTTTATAGCTTAGTATCTATAAATATTGTGGAGGGAGCATGTTGAAGTACATCTATATAGTAAATCAAACTCTTTTATTTAAAAAAAAAAACAAAAAAAAAAAAAAACAAGGAATGTAATGTTTTCCATGGAATGTCTCCTTTAAAAATACCTTCCAGTATGCTTTGATCCACAAGACACCAATTTGAACTGCAGAACATTTACTAGGAGACCTAAAGAGATTTTTTTTACATGAACCTCTCCCATAATTTCCCTCCCACAAATATTGAGCTTCATTGGCTTGGACAAACTCAACAGCCTGCACATGGTTTTACTGGAGTGTGTTCAAAGCAAACTGACTGTTAAACACTCTCTCTGTTTAAATCTAGATTAAAGAGACATCTCTTTGGCCAAGCATTCAAATAATGCATATCATAATCTTGTACTGCAGTTATATCTGATCAAATGCACATTATTATTCTTTAGTTTGGGTTAAACAAATACATTTTGCTTGGTTGGAACAGCAGCTATGCTAATTATGTCTCTAGAAGAGATGATGCCAACCCCTCAGAGGACCTCAGATGGTGCCAACCCTGAAAAAAAAAAAAAAACTGACACAATCAGATTCGTTCAATGGATGATTAATAAAAGCCACTTCATGCCTAACGCCCGAATCATAACGTGAATATAAAAAGCCCTACAGATCTAAACTTTTGATATGGATCAACTATAATAAGAAGACCATGTGGTGATGCACTTCCACAAGGAAAATATGGGCTTGTCATAATTTGGACTGTGATTTGTCTTTTGTCTATTGCCAGCACTGGCAAAATAACCTGAACAAGACAATAAAAAGCCAACAAGCAAAAGCCTAGCCAGAAATATGACAATATGGTCCATGTATCATCCGATCATTCAATTATTCCATTCAATCTGGCAAATGAAAAATGGTAAAAAACGTTCAATATTTTGTTTTTCCGTTTTTCTGTATGAACCAAAAATTGAAAGTTGGCAGATGATACATGGACCCAATATCCTCATTAAAGGGTTTGTTCACCCAAAAATGAATACTGTGTCCACATTTACTCACCCTCATGTTGTTCCAAACCAGTATGAGTTTTTTATTTTTATAAAACACAAAATATGTTTTAAAGAATGTTCATCATATATCATATTTCAATTTTTCGGAAGCCATACAATAGCTTTGTGCGAGGAAAAGACTAAAATTTAAGTTATTTACAGATAACCTTGCTTAACAGACATGGCCACCATTCACTTACATTGTACGGCAAAAAGCAGCTTGGACATTTTGATATAAACATCTGAAGAGTTCATTTGCAAAAATTGATAAACGCCACTTTAAAAAAAAGTGGTCGCGATCTGAACCCTAAACACGTTTTGTCAAAAAAGCCGGTTTTGTCCACTTTCAAGGCATCGCGAGTTCACGTTTTACTGCAGAAGCTGACAAGCGCCCTTGTTGTTTTTGAACAGAAGCCGATAAGTCCATTTTAGCGAATCAGCGCGCTGTATTCAGGTCAGGTGATAAGGCTACTTTCACTTTGAAAAGACGTGCTAGCTGAGAGGAGTTTCGTCAAAGCTGACTAAAAGTGATCGAGGATGGATCATTTCGACAAACTTGATGAACCTGTGATATCTTCTTCAGGGCGAAAAAGGAAAATAAAAGCTGAAATGTTTTCACGGAACCTTGCAAAAGCAGCCCGTAACAATGGTGAGGGAAAAGCTCCATGTATTACGTGTAATGACATCCATACAGTATATGATCACAACAACAACAACGTTTGTCGGGCATCTACATTGTCATCTGAGGAGATTACAAAGATTAAACGAGTGTTTTTTTAAACTCTAAAACATGAAATGTGGAGTTATCTGCTTTTGCCAAAAAACGACTGTTGGAGTTATCTGCTTTTGATATAAAACAAACTTTTAATATGTAAAAAAAAAAACATACTTTCAATGAACTTTAATTTTGTAAATTACCTGTATTTGTTTAAGTTATTATTACTTAATCAAAACAACCCAACTGCAGTTTGATTGATATTACTTGGAATGCGCAATAAAAAAAACATGATTTCTAAAAAATAAAAATAAAAATGGAGTTATCGGTTTTTGCAAATGAACTCCTCATCTCCTTTTGTGTTCACAAGTTTAGAAAAACATAAGTAAATGATGACAGTTTTCATTTTTGGGTGAACTGTCCCTTTAAGATGTTGAGAAGTGGCTGAAACTCATTCACATTTGATAACCTTCATCTTGTACTGTAACAAGAAAGAGGACTGAATAAGTAATGCTATTTCACACAAATATTCAAAGGTAAAAGACCTTCGGGCATGTTTGCTTGCTGTAGTGTGTCTTTATGGCCGTCTGCAGTAAACACGGCCTCTGTGGAGCAGATGGGCCAGGTTTGGCACAGATTCTTGTTGGAAAACCTTGAGGCCTACAAACACTACAGACTGACTACAACACTTCAGGGTGGAGGGAGAGAGCAAATGAAGGCAGTGAAAGGGAAAGAATGAAAACAGAGGAATAGATAGATGAAAAGAGAGTGGGAGTTTGTCCGCCAACAGAAACAAAAACTTATTTTAAGCTGAAGTACATGTAAGCCGCCCAGAGCTATTCAGACCCAAGTGAGCACGATAGTGGGTGTCATGAATCAGTAAACAGCATTCAATGAACACCTACTTTTTTTAATTTTTTTTTTTTAAATAAGCCTTCAAAGAAATTCTAGACATTGTGTTTATATACATGTGGGTAACGGATGAATATGGGAGACTGTCTATGGAAAGACTGACGGTATTTTCTAGAATCATTGTCTTGATGGCCTGGCTGAAGACTACAGAGACATCAGCGTATTGGGAAAGTCTCAGATTGTTGGAATGTTGTTGAAAAGATATCAGTACAAATCTTCACAAACAATAATTTTCTTTAAACATACAACCTCAAGAAGATAAAAATGGCCTCTAGCGTAAAATGGATGACATTTACATAATTGTACTCTGTGGTTGGGAGTTTAAAATGGTTTGAAACCAAGCATAACAAAAAATACATTTGCCTAAAATCTTTGCATATCCTTGGAGAATTTAGGATTGGAACAAAAATCAAAACATCGCAACAATGGGATAATTGTCTTACTTCAACTCTGACATTCTGAACAGTGCTGTTGGTCACTGGGATGTCCTTTTGAAATATTTCTAAGAGCCGGGTGTTCAAGGGTCATATGGGGACATGATAAAAAAATAAGAGAAGTTTTTAAAGGAGAAGTTCACCCATAAATGAAAGGAACAGACACAAAGTGCATAAAAACATTCAGATGTGTTTTGATTGTTCATGATTATTAAATGCTGTTTGGCATCACTAATCAATCCGGAATAAAGGTTCTTTATTGACATCTACAGTTCCATGAAGAACATTTAGCATCCATGGAACCTTTCCATTCTACAAAAGGTTCTTTATAGACGAAAAAGGTTCTTTAGATTATTAAAATGTTCTTCACACTAAGAAAAACAGTTATTTTAAGAACTGTTCACTGAAAGGTTCATTGAGGACCAAAAATGAAAATTAAAAGTGAGTAAATTAGTGAATTTTCATTTTGTAGTGAATTATTAAATTTTCATTGTTCATCTTGTTCTACACACAGAACACATCTTAAAAGATGACATAAAATCCTTCTAAATATTACATTAGTGAAAGATGAAACCTGGAGACACAAAAAATCTGTCTCTTTGGCTTCTGTAAGACAAAGATCCGATACTATAGATCCATTAAGGGCGGCGTTTCCTTTCAAAAGACAAACACCCTAATTTCACCAAATTTCTATACTTGCACAAGACATCTCAGTATGTCAGCATCTTGTCTGGCACAAACAGTCTCTTCCAGGTTCTACTTACTCCTCACATATTAATGACAGGAAAAAGATGACAAGCCTTTTACAAACTGGGCATCTTTATCAAGAAAATAAAAACATTTCTTCAGAAGAAAGTAAGTCATGCAGGTTTGAAACGACATGAGGGTGAGTAAATGATGACTGAACATTCATTTTTGGGTGAACCCTCCCCCTTCAAATCTCAAAGCAGTGCCAGAACTCACAGAGGAGAGATTGGTATCTGTTTTTACAGAGGACCAGGTGGTAACCTTCTCCGTCAGCACTGCTTTAAAATATCACACTATAGACAATGAAAACTCAGCTGAAAGAGAAGAACTACTGCATGACCTTCAGAGATGGTGAAAGTAGCCAGGTGCTGCCGAAAGCCAAATCCAGAGAAGAACAAAACAGACAGATAGAGGTGATAAAAGAGGCAAAAATCTGACACAATTTGGGAATGCAGTCATTCTGCAGGAATGGAGCACTGGGAAAAAAATGACTCATGAGTGTACAGTATGTTCAATGTCTGATTGATGTATTAAACAGTTTCAAACCTCCTCTAAGAAGACACCTGCAAACACTTAACAGAGTTCTCAACCCCATTTGAAGCTCTCAGGATGGACAGATAAGTCAAACTCCCGCCTCTCCTGACCTCTTATATCTACTCTGTTTTACTCTGTCTTTTCTCCGCTCTCATCTGGCTGCTTAGAGGTTTGGGAGTGTTAAGAATGAAGCTGTCTGGCAGTGTTTTACAAAGCCTCTGGAAAGGTTTCTGTGTTGTACTGTGTGAATAACTCAACAATGACAACAAGAAAAGAATTTAAACAAGAGGCAATGTGATAAAATGAAGCAAATTACACTGATGCATGTGAAAGCAATCAAGACATACCAAACTATTTACACTACCTTTCTTGTTGTCCCCAAAAAACGTGTCATCTGAAAGTCTCCTCAGCTGCAGTAACTCTGGGGAGAAACAAACACAAGGTGAAATAAATGGAATTGGCACAAAAACTGCAGTGACAGACAATTTTCTCTGGCAAAGCTATTGTATAGCTTTAGATAAATAAATTCTAAATATTATAATGAATAGTCATTTGTATTATTCTGATATTACAATAGAATTTCTTACATTTGAATTAAAGATTATGAAAAGTCTTCTTTTAATAAATACATATAATTTAATTAATTAATTCATTACATTTATATAGCGCTTTTCTAGGCACTCAAAGCGCTTTACATTGTCAGGGGGTATCTCCTCATCCACCACCAGTGTGCAGCATCCACCTGGATGATGCGACGGCAGCCATAGTGCGCCAGAACGCCCACCACACACCAGCTTATTGGTGGAGAGGAGACAGAGTGATGAAGCCAATCAGTAGATATGGGGATTGTTAGGAGGCCATGATGATCAGAGGCCAATGGGCAAATTTGGCCAGGATGCCGAGGTCACACCTCTACATATATACAGATAACTGTAGTTAGAAAGTAAACTGTCAATTTTGATTGCAATAATGTTGACTTTCGGACAGCATTTTACTGCACCAAAGAGGATCTCCTCAGCAAATGTCTTCATTTGCATAAAAAAATCTAATGTGTTTCTGTGTTTTGGGTAGAAAACTCAAACCCACTGGCTTTCCTTCAGCATGAGGTGAGAACATCACATGAGCACAGCTGGGTTAGAGCTACATAATCACACACAAGACTACACACTCGAACGCAGTTATACACATACCCTCCACCCAGTTCACCTAAAGGCATGACAAGATGTTAAAGAGAGGCATTCACCTTTCCCTGCTGCAAGCCAATGCCAGACATGCTTTAAAACCCAAACTTACAGGACTGCACTGGAAAGCATAAAACAAGAGGACTGTGCATGGGTTTATTTGAGGAAAATGCTTTGTGAAATGTTCTTTATCCTCAAGTGAGGAATACAATGATCTTGTGATTTAAAATCGCACCCTTGTTCAACAGTGAAAATGGCAGAACAGCATAACCAGTGCTGGATTCACAAACAAATAACTTCTAAACAGTTTCTTTCTTTTTTGTTGTTGTTGAATCAAAACGGAGCAGAACTAGCATTAAATGATATACAAACAAATGACTCTTTTAAACTGGTTCTTTTTGGAGAGCAAAAAGATACAGCAAAACCAAATGAGTCTAATTCATGGATTCAAGAACAAATGACTCTTTTGAGCTTGTAATGAATCATCTCCAAAACTCAGGAGTTATTTTTTGAATCAGTCTGATGGGTCCTTCACAGAATGATATATACAAAGTGTTTCTTCAACACCAAATCAGCATATTAGAATAATTTCTGAAAGATCATGTGATAAGTCAAAATAAATGGACTTTTTTAAGTAATATATTTCCAACTGAATTGACGTCTAATTGAACTGGAACTGAATCTGGAAAGCCACGATTAATGACAGGAAACGACAAAGAATAAATACAAAGATGAGGCTGTTCATGACCCGACTGGGCTTGAACCAAATGAGACAGATGATGTTCTTTAATGTAAAGGAAGTGCTGACTACAGTGCTACAGTGTTAACAGCACTCAGCATTCCTTCAGCTTTATGCGTGTTCTTAGAGTGACATCACAGTATCGTTCCCATGCTCTAAAAAGAGCCGAGATCAATCATATGAGGGTAAGCAGGTTTAAAACAAGATAAATATCATACAAGGTTTTTTTTTTTTTTTTTAAAGAGTCGGCTATGATTCCTTTCATCAAACGCACACACATGAATCACTGTGCCAAAGCCAGACGAATGGTTCATAAATTAATTATACTATCTTCCCTGCCTCATTTCTGTGGAATATAGCCAAAGGCTTGTTCCTTGGGATAAATGTCAGGTCGAATTTGATTTATAGGTGGAGACCTCCTGACATATCCCCGCTGAGCCGCAAGCCTCCGTTCATGAGGCCAGGTGGAGCTGGGGTCGTCCTCGGAGCATTTAAAACCCCATCAAACTTCCTATCCCCTAAAGACAGATTAAGTCAATCAAAGCCTTCAGTGGCTCTTAACTAATCCTTTTCTTTGAGCTTGTTTACAGCGCCGCTCAGGGAAGCCGCATGGGCCGCCGATTGAAGCATTGTGTTGCAAAGTGCCGCCCACCACCCATCTCCACTTTTCCATCAGTCCCGACCTCAGAAACAAGAGCAGCGTTGAATACAGAGAGTGCTAATTGAGAGTCAAGAGGTTACGACCTTTGAATAGGCGTCCACGTGACCCCACCCCACACCCCAGAGAGGGAACTACGGCCTGGATTGGGAGGGGCTTCGGGTCCAGTTGGAAACTGGGGTCACGTGGACCGTCCTCTTGGCAGATCTCTTGATAAAGAGTTCTAGCAGCAGGGTTTGGTTGGATTTGCATTCGGCCAGAGGAGCTTTCATCCCCCTCTCTTGGTCCATCTATGGAGGGGGGCTTGGGGTGATGGGATGGCCACTCAATGCTCCTTTCATCTGGATCTGCTGGAGGTTGGAGCACAGAGCTGGGCTTAGACAGCAGGCGGGACTCCCATGTGGAGAAGCCGGACCGTAACCTCACACACAGGGGTCAAGGAGCCGAGAGGAGATAGGGTCAGCGAGGCCACTGCTCAGGGCCGCAGATAGAGATAGAGAGAGAGAGACAGAGACAGAGACAGAGACAGAGAGAGAGAGAGAGAGAGAGAGAGAGAGAGAGAGAGAGAGGAGTGATAGAGAACAGAGAAAGATCTTATCCGTCTTCATTCTGAGAAACCTCCCCCGTTCTCCCTCCAAGGCCTCTTTAAAAGCATTGGACACTGTATCAGAACATCACAAAGACAAGGCCAGTGTTTAAGACCACTGTAGGTCATCAGAATCCTTTAAATGTCATGTCGGCCTAGGGGTGAATTTCATGAAACCTTGTCAGTAGCACAACTGGGTCGTATTTCTCCCCAAAACAAACAAAATCCTAAAAATACTATTATTATTGCTGAAAATGTGTCAGGTGAACATAAAAGTTTCTAATGTGTGCAATGGGAAAAAAGAGATTATTTTGTGTTGTGAGATTATTTTCATGACCATTAAAAACTTTTCTTCTTAAGCTCTCATTACCATCCTGTAAAAAATTTAATTTGCATTACTGTGATAAAAAATAAAAACATGAAATATAAATAATAGAGAATAAATTCACAGTAATCACAGTAATGAGAATCACTAAAAGTAACAGAAATAAAACTACAATAATTAAATTAAATAAAAACAACAAAACTATTTTATACATCTTATTTTTATTACTTTTTTCCCCTTTAAACTTTGGGGTGAAATGTGATCCTTTTTCATGAGATTCAGATGAACTGATAAAAAAATAAATAAAAAAAAAATTCAAATCTGACTCTTATATTTTGAAGAATGGTATTTAGGAGGTTTAATGTAATATTGCCACCACCTGTTGGATAACAATGATCATGCAAAAATGTGTAAATGTAAAAAAGTTTTTTTTTTTTTTTTAAAGTGGCATAATAATATATTTTCTTATATAATATAATTTCTTATTTTGATTTTGGGGTGAAATGTGACCTAGATATGTTTTCGCACAATTTACACGAACTTGTAATCTGACTGTGTTACATTATGCTTAATGATATTTAGAAGGTTTAATCTAATATTTGCCACCATCTGCTGAATCGATTATATTAGCCCAGCATAACTGGAGGGGTTAAAGAACAGCAACATGAATCTTCTCAAATACTCTCTCACACACACTTAGACCACAGCAGGACAACTAAACTTTGCTAGACAGGGATTTCTGTGAGTCAGTTTTCTGGCAACACTGCATTATAATATATTAACAACTTTTCCATCCAGCAAAGATGCATTTCACAGGAGCCACGTTGATCAGGGCTTTCAAAAGCATGCCAGAATAAAGCCATAGACAGTGAACTGATGTGGACACTCCTTTGGACTGATGGTTATTTTTAGATAAGTAGGTTATTTGTCCCAAGAGAATCCCGGGGACCTTCAGAGACCAAGCCTCAAAAATGGCTGAGAATAAAAAAAAACTCATATGGACCAGTTTCAAAGCAGGTCAAACAGAAGGTAAAATAATTCAGAAATCGTCTCTGCTCCCGAAAGAGCTCCGCCAGGTTGGCCTTTCTCTCGCCAAACTCTGATTTAATGAGCTTTCCTTTAACACAAAAGAAAACAATAGACGTTTTTTTCACTCAGCCCATCAACAGTTACGTCTAGAATACTAAATTAAGCCTTATTTTTACACAACTCTGACAATACTACAATTGACTAAAGAAAATATGCAACAAACTGCCTTTATAAATTGAACTAAAAATGATTTAATCATTTAGCTAAGTGGCTGTAATGGTATAGTAGTATGTTTAAATAGTATAACGATAGTAATTATAATGAAGAATTACGTTTGGTGGTAAACTTTATTTCTCACCATGAGTTATTCTTAAAATGAACTAACTACAATCCTATTTCCACAAACACATGCAATATAATTCAGCACTCAGGTTAAAAAGTCCCATTTCATTTTACAGGATCTTACAAAAAGTATAAGTTTGATGCATATGGAAGAGGATTAGGGCCAAGCAATGATAAAAAAAAAAAAAAAACATCTCGAGATTAAAGTCATTATAATGCGAGATTAAACTCGTTACATTTCAAGAAAGATGTCGAAATAAAATGTTGAGAATTAAATCATTAAATTTCGAGAATAAAGTCGTTGTTTAGAGAAAAACTCGTTAAATTTCGAGAAAAAAAGTCGAAATTAAATGTTGAGAAATAAATAATTAAATTACGAGAAAAAAGTTGTTGTGTTTTGAGAAAAAACTCGTTAAATTTAGAGAAAAAAAGTCAAAATGAAATGTTGAGAATAAACTCATTAAATTACGAGAAAAAAGTCGCGTTTCGAGAAAAGACTCGTTCAATTTTGCGAAAAAAAAAAAAAGAGTAGAAATAAAATGCTGAGAATAAACACACTCA